GGACAGGTGCTCAACGCCATGAACGGCAACCAGCCACCACCACCGCCAGGACAACCTCCAGCTGACCAACCCCCACCTCCTGACGGACCACGGCCACCAGGACCAGGAGGAGGAGACGAAGGACCACCACATGAAGGAAGAGACGGCGGTGGAGGCGGATTACCACCATCAGATCAAGGAGGAGATGGAGATACGTTCATCGACCTCACGGGCGAAACGCCGAAGAAACGCCCGCGAATGCAAAACGTTCCGCCAGCACTACCACCTCCGCCAACGGCTATCGTGCAGCACAACTTCGGGAACATCGAAGATACCCCACACAATCGCCGCGCTCATTCTACTTTTGAGTGGATTCGCCGACGGCAAGGAGATGAAGAATATACGACAAGTGGGGGCGCCTCAGGCAGCGGTTCAGCACCAACACCTTCGGGGGGAGACCTTCCCGCGCTGCCCGCGCCTGTTTCTGACTCAGCTGCTGCCGATGACCCCGCTCTGGCCCAGATACCAGCCCAAGAAGATCCAGCTCGCGCTGCAGATCCAGCTCCAGAACTCGCCGTACAACCAGAAGTACACGACGAACAGCCTGAAGAACGCGATGGAGTACGACTACCACCACCAGGAGCTCGACGCACAGAAGCCGATGGACATTCATCGGATGCCGACAGCTCCGGGTCCGAAGGGCTACGCAACTGGGGCAAGGCCGCGGAGGAGGAAGTTCGCAGAGAAGCCCTTGCCCGCAGACCGCAATATCCTGAAGGACAACGCGGCAACAAGGCTCAGCGCCAAGCTCAACAAGAGGACGCACCTCGCGCACTTCAACGTGACAGGCTCGACCAGACAGACGACCGCAGCAAAGCCACCGAGCGCAAGGAGTTCTTGGAGAGTCTCAAGGACGACCTACCCAAGTGCTTCAAGAGGCCAAAAGACACGCTCAGGACCGACCTCTACTTGGACAACTACTTCAAGGTCAGCGACGACGAGCTGCACTCGACCATTCGGCTCCAAAAGGTCATGCTCACCGGGAAGGCCGCTGCTAAGGAGATCAAGTACGACAAGCTCTCCGCCAAGGACAAGAAGCTCATGGACACGGCCATGAAGGTCGAGTGGTCCAAGTGGACCGAGTTCGGGGCCTACAAGAAGCTGCCGCCCAAGGAGCTGAAGGAGATCCTCAAGCGACACCCTGGAATACGACCAGTCGGTACCCGCTGGGTGCTCACGCAGAAGGCCGCCAACCTCATGAAGGCCCGCCTCGTCGTCCAGGGCTGCCAAGAGGACAAGTCCCAGATCCGCGCGGACGCGCCGACCGGGTCAAGGGACGCGCTTTACCTCGCGCTTGCTGCCGCCACCCAGCTTGGCTAAAACCTCACGTCGTACGACGCGATGACGGCCTACCTGCAGTCGGGCAACATCGAGAGGCTGCTACTGCTACGCATGCCAGCCAAGAACCCGCCGCCAGGCACACTGCCCGGCGAGATCGCGATGGCGACCGGCGCCATCTACGGCACCCGAGATGCAGGACGCCAGTGGTACCTCTACGCCCAGAAGGTGTTCCAGGAGCACGGCCTCATCGAGAGCAAGCTTGAGAAGGGCCTTTACTACTTCTACGACGACAAAGGGCTCGCCGCCATGATCCACTCCCTCGTGGGCGACTTTCTCATCGCCCAGCGCGGCAACTCCAGCGAGTGGAAGCGAGTCATTAGCTCCTTGCAGAAGAAGCTGCACCTCAAGAAGGTAGAGGGCATCATCAAGTACTGCGGCCGGACCATCAACAAGACCAACGAGGAGTTCCGCATTACCCAGGCGACGGCCGCCGCCCAGGTGGATTTCATCGAGCTCAACGCCCAACGCGGACGATCACCAGAAGATCGGCTTACCACCTCGGAGGTCTCGGGATATCGCCACACGCTCGGTCAACTGCTTTGGCTCGCAGTGCAGACGCGAGTGGACATCGCCTGCCCGGTGAGCCTTGCAGCTCGCCGCACCAACGCCGCCACCGTGGCCGACGCCAAGACGCTGAACAAGACCGTCGCTTACGTGCACGGGTCCGCCGACTTCGCCATCGTCATCAAGCGCAACATCATCGACCTGCGCACCTGCACCATTATCTGCTTCAGCGACGCGGCCTTCGCCAACGTGGACGGGGTGAAGAGCCAGTGGGGCATGGCGATTGGGCTAACTCACAAGCCACGGGACGTCGTGGCTGGACGATATGACTTGTGCCTGCCCGTGGCCTGGCATTCGGGCACGGTCAAGCGATCCGTGAAGTCGACGCTGGCCGCCGAGGGCTGCGCCACCCTGGAGCCCTGGAGGGCGCCGAGTCGAGTACTTGGTTCGGCCAGCTACTCACGGAGGCCTACAACCCGAAGAAGACGCTCAAGCAGATCGACGACCTCAGCACCAAACGATCCGGGGAGATCTACAGCGACAGCAACGGCCTGGTTACGCACATCAAGTCTGACGTGGGCCAATCCACCGACAAGCGGTTCCGCATCGTCGCATCGATGATTAAGGAGACGGTGCACCCCAACAGCCAGCTGAAACTCTCGTGGGTACCTACGTGGAGTATGGTCGCCGACGCGCTCACCAATATCATGGAGACCGGAGTGCTCCTCGCTTTCTTCGGGGCCAAGAAGCACAACTTTGACACCAGGCAGCCGCGCGCCGCCATGCTTGCCTCAGTGCTGATGACATGTCTCGGACGCGTGAAGGCACAGCCTACCTCGCAGGAGATATCATATTGGGTCTGCTACATGACATTCATCGCGATGCCCAGTGGAATCATGATCGGGTTTACATTGTTCGCAGCGCTGTGGTTTGTGATGCGAAGAGAGATATTTGGGTCAGGCGACCCCAATCCCATTCAGATCGGGACCATCAACAACACCAGCAACGAGTCCAAGGCTGACGACACCGGGCACGCGGACAGCCCCTTGCCCGGAGTATATCCAGGATGGGATGGACGATACCTTGGACGCCGCAACAACGTACCGCCTACCATTCCCGAAGACGCCGACGGAGATGTCCACATGGAGCCGCCGACGATTGCCGCTGCAGCCCAGAGTTCATCATCAGCAAGCGGATCGGCAGCGCCAGCCGCGCCGCCATCATCACCGGACAGCTTCGTGCCACCATCGCCACATGGAGCGAGTTCTGCGCCATCATCGCCGATGACGGTTCACAGTTCTTCGTCAGCCAGCGTGGTTTCGTGGAACGGATCAACGCCAACGGTTTCACCATTGGGGATGAACGCTTGTGTGATCGCCGAGCACAACATACGCGCGGGACACAACCCACACAGCGTCTACGTGACCTGCAGGACGTGCCGGAAACACGCGTCATGGCTTCGCCGGAATCACATGATCCACGAGCCCGACTTTTCGAAGATGCACAACAGCCTGCGCTGGGACTTGCAAAACAGATGGAGGCAGCTTCAAGGGTTGCCCGGCAACGCGAAGATGCAGAAAAAGATTTCGTGATGCAAGCCGCCGCTCTGTGCCGCCGCTCTGCTCCGTTTTGCTAGCTTGTTTTTTTACACCTGGCGCCACATCGTGTGGCAGACTACGTTAGTCCGCATTGTTTTGATTGTGGAGCTGCCGCGCTCGGCACCCACAGCCCGTTCGAAGCTTCATTCAGTGTGCACAGTTTTTTTTGCAATGTGGTGACGACCACACTATTCAGACCTTATCTCGATAAGATAGCGTTTTTTTGAATCTTGTCGCATCGCGATCGGACTCGCGCTGCTGCTCGCCTGATAATTTATTTGTTTCTTGCCGGTGCGTGTAGCAGCACCCGTTAAATGCCCACAGGCAGCCGGATAGCATGCCGATAAGGCCGTTTGCCTGTGTTCTGGTGGAGATGCTGCGCCCAGCACCCACCGCGGTGTGTGTCAGCGCTTGCTCTCTCAGCGAAGCGCCCTGCCTAATGTAGTGAGCTGCGATCGGTGATCGTCGCTCGACGGCGCCGCGAGCGCCGATCAGGAGGAGTGTGATTTCCGCTCACTCCCCGATCCTTTCCTGCCCCTGCTCTTGCTGCTCTCACCCTTTCTCCCGCTGCCTGTTTCGGTTCGAAATTTATACTAGGGCCCTTGGCCTTAGAGCTACGCAGATTGATTCGCCGCGCGATCATTCGACAAAACGATATCAGCGATATCCGACCCTGCGGGTCTTCCATATCACACTTGGAACCCTCTTGAGCCCCCCGCGGGCTTCGTGGGCCGTCTGGGAGGGGCCCAAAAAGGCCCCAAGAGGGCCCCGAGAGGGTCCCAAGAGGCCCCCAGAGATGTGCAATGGCCGACGGCTGTGCTGTGCTAGGCCGTGCTGAACTACGATGTGCCATGCCGCGATCGTGCTCTACATAGCGTTGTGAATCGAGTCCTCTTTGCATCCGAGTCCTGACCGAACTGATCTGGATCTTAAGCTCGAGCTGCCTGAGCAGATGGTAGCTGTTCCAGAACTAATCGACAGGGGGACATGCCAGGAGGACGCGCCGCGGAACGTCCCAAGGGACGCGCCAGGCGACGTGCCAGGGGACGTGCCATGGGCACGCACCGCGGGACGTGCCAAGGGGACGCGCTACGGAACGTGCCAATGGATGTGCACCGCGCGATGTGCCAGGGGGACTCGCCACGGGACGCTCCGCGGAACGTGCCAGGCAACATGCCAGGCTGCAATGCTAAGGGTATCGATATTGATGTACCGTACCGAGGGCTGTGCTGTGCCTGGGCGACCTGGACACGTGAAAACACGCGTTTCGTTCAAGACGTTCTCAGCACATCCTCATGCTAGACATCCGCCTGGGCAACCTGGACACGTGCAAACAAGCGTCTCGATCGAGACTTCCTCGACACATCCTCATGCTAGACATCCGCCTGGGCGACCTGGACACGTGAGAACTAGCCTTTGGTTCGAGACATCCTCAACAAATCCTCATGCTAGACATCTAACTGGGCAACCTGGAGGCGTGAAAACCAAGCGTCTCGCTCGAGACATCCTCAAGACCTGGGCACGTGAAAACAAGCATTTCACTTGTTGTTGTCTTGTTTTGTTTTTTTTGTTGCCGCACTGTCTGGCAACCAGGGAGCAAATCAGTTACCAGACGGCGAAGCAGTCGACGCGCCAAATGCGCGCCAACCGCGAGCTGCGCCAAACGCGCGCTGAGGATGTAAACGCGGAGTTGTGGATGTTGATGAAGGTACTTGCTCACTCCAGAAGATGGGATGTATGGATATATACGTCGTAGGGGCTATTATTTCGGTTGGAGTTGGAGCAACACGCAGCAGACAATGTCTGCGGTGCGAACGGCAACGGGCCCCCCTGCTGTATGCGGGTGTATCCCACTGTCGCCTCACACTTCTGCAAGCCTACACTCCCTGGGTCGGCTGCCACGGACCGCCGTCACGGCACACTGTCTGCAGTGCGAGCGGGAATCATGCCCCCTGCTATTTGCGGGTGCATGCCGCTCTGCCCTCACAACTCGCGCAGCAAAGTTACGCGCTAACTCATTACACCAAATGGCGATGATGAGAAGGCAGCGGAGGCGCAATGCCACGAAAAGAAAGGAGAAAATTGAAGAATTGTGGGGACTCTGGGGGCATTCGTTGCCGTGTTGGTGCTATCTTGGTGTGTGTGTGTGTTTGGGTGTTTGGGTGTGTGCGTGTGTGTTAACAAAGAAAATGACGCCCGGGCCCCACATTTGCGGTCGAGGCGCCGGCCCCCGGCCCTCGGACCCAGTCCCCCGTTATATGTATAATCCTGCACCACGGCAGGGCAGGCGGGCTCAATAGCCGATTGCGGAGGAGCCCTGTCGATGCGGAGCTTGACCATCCGGACCCGCCGATAGGGATATCATTTTCTGGCACCCTGCCTCGAGCGTCGCAGCCTCCGTGTAATCATCCTCACCCAGCAGCCCTCCGACATGAAACCCAGCACGCCGAAGGTTCTTAAGGTAGACGTTCAAATACTGCTGCCCCTCGCCAGTGTGACAGTGGACGATTTTAAGCTCCACCGGCCCGAAGTTCACCCAATTCGGCTTGTTGTCGCGCGCGCCGCGAAACTTGAAGTGGAAGCCTCCGGGTTGCGCCTTGTCTGCCCACGTCCCTGTGACGTTGACCTCCTGGAAATAAATATCCGAGCATCGTGCTCCCAGTCGACGTGCGTCGGCCCTGGAGATGTGCAATGGCCGTTGCGCATCTCCAGGGGTCGTCTTGGCGCCGTCTTGGTGCCCTCCCGGAGCCATCTCGGGGCCTCCTGGGAGCCTCTTGGTGCCTCAAGGGGGCTTAAAGGGGCCCCAAGAGCGTTCGAAGAGGGCCTCAAATATGGTGCGCAATTGCGCACCGTCAGACGCCTTCTCGGAGCTTTCTTGGGGTCCTCTTGGGGCCTTCTTGGGATCCTCTCGGGACCTTTTTGGGCCCCCACTGGTCCCTCTTAGGGCCTCGTTGGGGCCTGTTTTTTTTTTTGGGGGGGGGTTCAAGAGAGCCCGTAGGTCCGCGGGGATCTCCGGAGGTTTGGAGGGCCCGAGGGTGCCTAAATTACATGGACATACGTACATCGTGCAGGACATACTTACATCGTGCAGGTGTGATGGCCAGTGCAGTTGGTTGAGGCTGTAGGTGAGGCCTCTCCTTCCTCCTTCCTTCTAGGCCTCCTCTTCCCGCCTCCCCGTCTCTGCCTGTCCACACTCCCGGAACGAAGGGCTGAGAGCGAGATGAATCCGCATCACCTCGGGAAGGCTTTGAACGAAGCAACGCCAGCCATTACTCAATTTACCGTCAACCGTGATTGCTGACGCATGCGAGCACGGTGCCTGTACCACACGCCGGAAGGATAATTCCCCCCATGCCAGTGATGCTGGTTCCCAATGCAATGCAACTCCCTCCTCCTCCTCCTCGCCGTCTGCTTTCTTCTCCTCCTCCGCCTACCTCTCGCCCTCCTCGTCCTTTTTCTATGGAGCGCGGGCGGGCCCGAAGACGCTGGTGACCGTCTCCAAAGAAGAGACGCTACTGAGCAGCCGCCCGCCTGGTAGGACCGCGTCGGGCGTTCCCGACGGGCGGCTCGCGCCAGAACGGCCCCAGTCGACACTACGCGGGCGGACAAACTTCCCCCCCCCCCCGAGGTCGCCGCCGAGTCTGCACGACAGCTGGAATGTAATCCGCCGCCGCGCCTGCACGGCAATGCCGCGTTAGAAAGCCCGTGGACTGTCTGGCTGGGTTTATATTTTCTTCTGGACGACCCTCCCCGCTACTAACGTCGGTACGAATGCACCCCTGTGCCTGTATACGCATCCAGCATGTACATCGCTGTGCCTGCGTACACCACAAAGCCCGTGTACACCTCCAGGGCACGGCCCCATACCCCCGTTGCCTGCGCGGACAACAGTAATTATCTTTGCGTACGACAATGCTGGACACGACCGCGCCTGTGTGCACCACAATTGCCGCCGCAGCCGGCGTGTGCGCTATGCACGCCGAACTGCTCGTTGTTTCCAGTGCTGGGTGTGCCGCCGCGCCTGCGTGGGTGCCACATCAGCCTGCGCGCGCCTCGCGCCTCTACATACCACAAGCAAATGCCTGCGCACGCTGCAAACACGTTGCGCGCGCACTACGAACAGCATACCTGTGCGCTAAACAACACGCGCTGCTGCAACGGGGGTGGGTGGGGCGGCGGGCGTTATGTTATCTACTGGGTGGGTGGGTGGGTGGGTTGGAGGCCACATAACGCGCGTTGTGTGTTCGAGTATAAAAACGTGAGCTCCTAGGTACGACTCATTTTCATCACTACTACTGAAACGCACGCTGAAGACTTCCACCGACACATAGATACCAAGATTGTCCCGCAAGTTGACCTGAAAAACCGTACAGATATCATCATGCACGGGATTGGAGCTTACTTCTTTGGTAAATTTCTCGCGATCGGCCTCTGTGGCAAGAAAGGACGATACACTCACTCCCACCAAAGACCGAGGCTGGCTATGCATTAGCAAAGCCGCGAGTTGTTCGGAAGGCCCCTCGAGCATCAGATTGGAATCGAGCTTGACCACGGCGTCACAAACGCCTGCTAAGGTCGACCTTGCGGCGCGCAATTCGCTCCGGACTGCTTGATCCTCTAAAAGGGAATTGACCACAAGGGAGAACACGAAGTGGATGATTACCAAAAATATAACGGCAGAAATCCAATCGTACAACACGTCATCGATTATGTTCTTGTCGGGGTAACACATGCCGATCTTTTTGCCACCAGGCCTTGGGCCGGTTGGGACGGGTGGGGAGTCGCCAACAAGCACTGTGGTCGAAGCGGAAAGATAGCAAATCGTCGTCCAAAACAAATTCGCTGGAAGGTTCAGGTCAACCATGCAGTACATTAGGCAACCATGGAATAGCTGAACCTTCAAGGGGCCAATTGCCCCAGAGAACTGCATCAGCGGTGACAGCGTCATCGCATGTGAGAAACACAGGAGGGAATACCACACATGAAGTCGTGATGGAGTCAACAAGCTAGGAACCACATTGATTGCCACAGCGACCACCCAGAAGAAAGAGTTATGCAAGCGCCTCGGAGGAATATGTGGGCGGTTATCACTGGGGGGAACGAACTTCGGCTCGGGCGAGGCGAAGATCGGGAAAACCAGCATCCCGAGGGCGGTGACAAGGAAGAACTGGTAGCTTCTGCGTGCCATGGCAAGCCTGATGGACTGCTTGCGCTTGTGAACGGAGTACCTAGAGCCAAGTCTCCCAAAGACGACCGTCCGGACGAGTGTAGAAAACGCGAGCAATCGAGCATAGCCGTCGCGAAACCATGTCCGCGGCGCGCCCCCTGTCCACAACTGTCGAACCAAGCGCCCCAGCATCATGGCGGCGCAAGCCACAGCGCATACACGCTCCACTTGGTGGACATTGCCAGACAAGTTTGAGACGAGCATTGGGAAGATTGGTTTGGCATCCAGCTCGTGCGGACAAGCACCCTGCCCAGCACTCTTGAGCCAAAATGGGCCGTTTGGGGGGCTTTTTGGGGCCCCTCGGGAGCCTCTTGGGGGCCCCTTGGGGGCCTCTGGCGGCGTCTTGGGGGCCTCCCGGGCGCCTTTTGGGGCCTCCTGGGGGCCTCTCGGGGCCGAGGGCCCAGAAAGTCCGTTCGGATCCCCCGTCTGGGCCCCTTCTTAAAGCCGTCTTGGGGCCCTCTTGGGCCATCTTGGGTGTCTCTTGGGCCGTCTTAGATCCCTCTTGGGTTGTCTTGGGGTCTGTTGGGCCCTCATGGGCTGCGTTAAGGCGGTCTTCGGGGCTTCTTGGACTGTTTGGAGCGTCGGAAAAGCGAAAAGGTGCTTCTGCTAAAAATGTACGTTCCCAAAGGAATTGGAATTTGTTGCCCTCTTGGGGGCATTTTGATAGGCCTGTGGGAGGCACCTTGAAGCGTCTTGGCGCCTTCCTGCGACGCCTTGGGGCCATCTTTTTTGTTGTTGCCCTTGCGGTTCGCTTCCCCCATCTCGCGTTGCCAATCTCGCTTCGCTGGGGTCGAGCCTGGCGGACAGACCCGGCGAACGCGACTTCAAAATGAGCGCGCAGGTTATCATACGAGCGGGCAGGACGTTAAACCGAGCGGGATTCAGAAGAGGACAATTGAGCTAGCACGGGACACAGATATGGTCAGTATAACTACGACAATACCCCCTTGTGCACTCGTTCCAATATCCCCATCCGCACTTATATCCTGGAGCACCATGTCTTGAGCCAAAATGGTTACGGAACGCCTTGGGGCCATCTTGGGCGTCTTGGGGCGATGGTTCGGTGACTCTCTGGGCTGCATTGGACCGTCTTGGAGCCTTCTTGGAGCCCTTTTCAGCACGTTTCGGGACTGCCTTGGGCCGTCTGTGAGCGCTCCCGGAGGCCGTGACACGCCATGCCCTCCGTGCTCCTCCCTTGGCCCGTCCAGGCGGCCTCATCCCCCGGGTCTGTTCTGGAGCCTCTTGGGGCCTCCTTGGTGCCTTCTGGCGGTCTTCTGTGAGGTCCCGGGGCTCCCCGAGGGCCCCGGGGCTCACATTTGCGGCAGTCTTGGGCCCTTCGTGGGCCGTCCTGGAGCTCTCTGGGGCTGAATGGGGGCCCTCTGGGGGGGCGTCCTCGGCCGGACCGACAGCGAAAACAAACAATATGTTAAACATATACGTTTTACGAAAAGAATGGAGCTATTCTGGCCCCTTGGGGCTCTCTTTGGGGCCCTATTGGGGGTCGCTTGGGGTGTCTTCTGGCGGTCTTCTGTGAGGCCCCGGGGCTCCCCGAGGGCCCCGGAGCCCACATTTGTAGTAGCGGCGCCGGCCCTGGGCGCCCGGACCCGGTGCGCCGCTATGTGTATATATATATATATATAGATATACATCTATATATATATATATATATATATATATATATATATATATACCGCATAGACCACCCTTCGGGTGATAAGGAGGTGAGGGGGGGGAGGGACCAACGTCGCACTCGATTGATCTCACTATCGAACTCACTACCGATCTCACAATCGATCTCAATCGATAGATCTCACAATCGATCTGAGTATCGATCTCACAATCAATCTCACAATCGATCCCACAATCGATCTCACATTCGGTCTCGCTATTGATATCACAATCGATATCACAATCGATCTCGCATTCAATCTGACTATCGATCTCACTATCAAACTCACTATCGATCTCATTATCGATCTCACATTCGGTCTCACTATCGATCTCACTATCGATATGACAATCGATCTCACAATCGATCTCGCATTCGGTATCACTATCGATCTCACTATCGAACGCACTTTCGATATCATTATCGATTTCACATTCGGTCTCACGATCGATCTCACTATCGATATCACAATCGATCTCACAATCGATCTCACATTCGGTCTCATCATCGATCTCACTATCGAACTCGCTATCGATGTCATTATCGATCTCAATCGATCGATCTCACAATCGATCTGACTATCGATCTCACAATCGATCTCACAATAGATCACACAATCGATCTCACATTCGGTCTCACTGTTTGTCTCATTATCGATATCACCATCGATATCACAAACGATCTCCCATTCTGTCTCACAATCGATCTCACTACCGATACCACTATCGATCTCACTATCGATATCACAACCGATCTCACAATCGATCTGACATTCGGTTTCACGTTCGATCTCACAACCGATATCACTATCGATCTCACATTCGACCTCACTATCGATCTCACAATCGATCCGCATCACTATCATCAACATCATCGGGACACCATCAACACCATCATCATCATCATCATCATCATCATCAGCACCATCATCATCATCAACATCATCATCATCATCGGGACACCGACGGGGCACCGACGGGACACGGGCGGGACACCGCGGGCCCCTGGCCGCCCGGAAGGGAGTCATTTGGTCCGGCCGCGCCTCAGCCACAGGAGACTTTCTCTCGCCCGCCCACGCAGCTTCGCCTCGCCCGCACGGCACGCACGAACACGAAACAGAAATCGATTTCCCGGTAGAGGGTCTCTCCGTTCCACTTCGATCTCACCCCCTCACCTCCGATATATATATATATAT